TTTTTTTTTTTAAAAAAAAGACCAGAAACATTCATACGTACCAACATGCGTTCTTTTGGTTGGCGTAATCTACTTTGTCTCTTTGTCTAATCAGAGGCGAACTTACAGCATCTACAGTATGAAAAAACCACATAAGTACGTGCGTACAGTACATAAATTTTCTGTAAACATAGACAACACAGTTAATAGTGAAGTGATAATCAAAATGAAATTACCTAAAGTTAAATTGAAATTTCTACTAGAAACTTCCAAGAGCTCGGAGTAGCATAAAAAAGCTTTGATAAAAGAATAATCACATTTTATATATAGTGATAATCTATAATTTTTTTATGATACAGATGTACTCTATGCGTTAATACGAATCGGTATCGGTATCAGTATGTACGACCAAAGATATTATTTGAAAAATCTACGCATGAATCAAGGAAATATAATTACAATATAATGCTATAATTGGAAAACAGTTTAGCAACGCCTCCGAGTATCCAAATAATATGTATTGAGAGGAAGTAAATGATAGCATTAAGTAAAGTCGAGACCAAGGAATACTTTACTATGAAAAGAAACACAAATGCAAAGTAAATGAATATGGCGTTGAACATGAGAAAATTTATGTAACACAAATCGAAATTTAAAGAAAGACCAGATTTGCAAATGTAAGATGGAAAAAAGGAGAGATCTAGAAGCACAAGTGAACTCCTTGCGTAATATGCGTAGTATGATGGTTTAATATTATTCATATACGTGGCTAATGCTTTTTCAATTTCCGATGATAATTGTATCAGTATCGTATTATTCAATTTCAATTACATATGCACGTCGTAAGTACATCGTAAAGTACGTCGTAAGTACGTCGTAAGTACGTCCGTACTTAGACAGGTACGTACAATACTTTACCGTTTTCATAAGCTTATTAATGTCATTGACATCAATGAGTTCATCGAGTTAATTTTAGACTACGATCTACAAACATCAATTAGAGTTAAGGCTGTCACATTTTTCCAAAAATAACCCTTGGCGAATTAAAGCGGATGTCGGGGTTAAACGAATTTCCATTGTCTTGGTGTAACATAGCTTTTATACAAAAATGTTTAAATGTTTGTGGCGGGTGAGAGTAAAATTAGATTTGTGGCACAATATTCCATGCTTGTGACAAACTCCCAATAACAGTCATTACACATACAGTTTATTACATTCCTTTTTTGGTGAATTATCTAATTTTATCTCACCTTTATTTGTATTGATGTACTTGTGCGTTTTGTTAATCTAACCCAAAAGTGAAACACTATCAATTGGCCTTTTTAAAAAAGCATGCCTCTGGCAAAAGTATAAATACTCACGGATAGTACATAACCTTCTGTAGTTCGTCACAACGAATCTCATCTGCAGGAAACATTGATTTATTTGAGTCCTCTTCAAGAAATTTATTAGCTTTTTTTAAATTTATTAGCTTTTTTTAAACCATGAACTCAAAAACCAGAGCAATGACTGTCACCAAGTCCACTCATCGTACTTCTCATTTGAACAATTCCACACCTTCATCTAAACGCATTCGCAACAGCAATCAGTTGTCGAATCGCAATCGTATGGATTATGATGAAGAACTCAACTCCGTTAACATTTATCGTGAACATCGCGGTTACTTGGAACAAGATAAAAAAGCTCGTATCGACTTAAATACTCAAATAATCAAGGACGATCTTTATGAACCTGTTCAAGAATCCACATCTCAGCATAACTCAAAGCAATCATCAAGAGCTGTAAATGTGGGAAATCTAGTTTCCTTCTCACCTTCAAACTTCTTGCCAACTTCCTTTGGTGATTTTAGAGGAATTTCCGTGGAGACTGGCCATTCTGATATTTGGGGTTATTATCCTAATTATCCTAATGATACTTTCGCTTCAGGAATAATGATGGACAGTCTTAAAGGTGTTTGCTGTTCTTAAATCTTTTCTTTTCTTTACTCCGTTTTCTCAAACCCGGCAAGATTCGGTATATATTATTAAATAGAATAGATATTTATTTTCGTAAATTCGTTTAAAAAAACTTATTGGCTACTAATCATAATAATAGTTTACTTCGCTTAAATCACAAACACAAACAAAATCAATTTCGATTCAAATTTTGCGTTGATCGCATTTCCTTTATATACAACATTTATTTGCATTTTATTTTTCGTCAAAATTTTCATCATTTTTTAAAACATACGAAATCACAAACACGAACTCACTTGTACTATATATGAACTCATCTGTGGAATTTTTTTCCTCAGCATATAGAAATTTTTTTAAAACAT